AATTCTTGATTTTAGCTCAGGTCATGATCTCAGGGTTGTGAGATCTAACCCCATATCAGGCTCTGTGCTGGGCGTGGAACCTGCTCAAGACTCTCCCCCTCTCTAGGAAAAACAAGACAGGTAATGGAAGGAAATCAAAAGAATGAACAAACCCTCTTATAAGAGAAAAATCTATTTTCGTCCATAAAAATAAATGGAAAGTCTGAATATTAGGAGAATACCTACAAATAGATTACTTATTCACTGCAAAGTAATGTTATTTGAGTAGCGGGCAGGTTATGGGACAAAAAACTTTACTTCCACTGAATCCACAAGTGACAAAGAGATTTTTCCTCAAATATTAACTATAATTAATTGGTAATGGTCCCAATAAAAATGCAATGTCCATTAAAGGACACAACAGCTACAAGTGGATACTGACATTTAAATTTAAAATAATTAAAATGTGAAACTGGGTTCCTCAAGCCATGTTTCAAGTCCTCTCTAGCCATAAATGGCTTGGACCTGTACAATGGATAGCCTATATAAGGAGTAATTCCACTACTGAGAGAAGTTCTGTATCTAATCTATAGATTGGACAGTATCTTAGAGTGTAAGTTGAAAAGCATCCAAACATGCCAACGGGGACCAGGGAAAAGAAACAAGGATGAGGTAGCTACTTCTGCTTTAGGACATATGTTTATCTGTTTCTCCTTTCTCTGTTGAATTCTGGCCACATTAAGTAGTATCTAGCACAAAATGAATACTCAAAAGATACTTAAATTTGCTACTATTTAAGAACACCATGTACCCTGTTATACCATCAAGGAAATTCAAGATAAACTAAAAGCTCTTTATGCACATGCCCACCCTAAAAAAAAATGCCCTCTGACACTTTATATTAAAAAGCAAAGATTAATAAATATGACAAGAAATACAATTTTCTTGCAGAAAGCTTTAAAAGGGATAAAGTTTATGAACCTGTCAATGTACAGTTCAAAGAATTTTCTGCATAGATTCCATTGTGTTTTCTGCCCTCAGCATCCCTGTTCTACTAACCTGTTAATGGTATCCAGGTAGGGGCAATGGCGACTCCTCCGGTCCTCGGAATCCACACGGCCATTCTTTGCTGAAAGGAAAATCATCACAGGCTGTGAAACTGGGAAACATACTCAAGGTCAACTACTAGTACAAACAAACAAATGAGAAAAGCCCAACAGGATGGGCCCCTCCACCAGTGGCCAGAAATACACCAAACTGGGAGAACATATTTGAAACACATATAACCAACAAACGATTCATTTGCAGATTACATAAATCTGGTGAAGCGATAAGAAAAAGACAAACAACCCAACAGAAAATGAGGACTATAACCCTCATCAACATTCAAGAAAATGCCGATTTCCTTGCACAACAAGATACCACTTCACACCTACCACAGGAAAAAATAAAACCAGAAAATTCCAAGTGCTGACAAATACAGAGAGCAATGGAAATGCTCATGTACTGCTGGTGGGAGTGTAAACTGTTACAATCTTCTGGAAAATAGTACAGCAAGATCAAAGCTGAAAATATGCAGACCTCTGACCCAGCAATCTACTTATAAACCAGAGAGAAACTTCTGCACAGGTACACTGGGAGTGCTTTACTAAAGATATTTATAGCAGCGATATTTAAAAGGGCCAACATGGAAACAAATATCCACCACAAATAAATGGATAAACAACATTCGGGTATATCATCAATACAACACTACAGAGCCATAAACATCTATTTGGATGAACCTCAAAAATACGGCTAGCAAAAAAAAAAAACAAAACTAAACTAAACAACCAACAGACAAATCAAAAGGTTATATATAGTATGATTCCATTTATATCAAACACAAAGTAAAACAGTACTACTTAGGGATACATATATGAGGTAAAACTAAAAATAAAAATAGACCTGGTTAGAAAAAAAATTCAAAATAGTGAATTCTTAAGCAAGGAAGGAAAGTAGATACAACTGGGAAGGGGTCTACGGGAGCTTCTAAGGTACTGGTTATGTGCCATTTCTAATGTTGAAACATTAGGAGACAATCCTCCGTGGGTGTCTCATGTCTCTGCCCGTATTGTGACCAGAGACACTGTCTGCCTCCAGACTACCTTGACAAGGATATTTGTATAGTAAACAGCAATGGGGTTGGGCGGGGGTGGGGGGGGGGGTCCTCCCTACAGAGCAAAGGGGAGTCAAGTTCACAGACCACAAAAAAGATCCACATTCTTTAAGCCCAGAGTTCCTCTCCTGGAAGGCCACCCACTGTAAGTATAAGTTCTCTTCAAACTGCACTGTGGAAAATGATGCTACAGGAACTTGTCCTGTCTTCATCAGCATCCAGAAAACTGGCAGGCTAACTAGGCAGCTTGCAAATAAAATCTTAAACCCTTCACAGTTCTTAACAAGTTGTGTATTTCCACTCTTCTTTAAACTATACTTGTGCAGTATATTCAGTCCATCTTAGTTCCTGTGATCTATTTCATCATAAAAATGAAAGGGAAAAAACAAACAAACAAACAAACAAAACAAAAGACAAGCCAGAACAGCAAGTGGGATCCTAGTGTCTCAGAGGAAAAACGTCCTTATCACAATTACGCAAGATACCTAAGAAACAACTTCTTTTCCAAAGAAGGGGAAACCTGAACCCGACAAGGTACTTAAAAAAACAAAGAATACCCTGAAATTATCAATTATTCAAAGAATATTTATCAAACACTTTCTATGACCAAAGTGCTATCCTGGACTGTAATATAAAAATATGCCAGAGGACCCTAAGCAAGAAAATTTAATATTAAAGTAAAATCATACACAGATAACCAGGACCAGAAACAAAATTATAAAGCCTCAGAAAATTAGTACTGTCCTCACTGCAATGCAGTCGAGTCTGATCGCGGACACTAGGAGTGTGAATCCCCCAACCCCACGCCCACCTCCACTCCCAGGGAAAGCTGAAAAAAAAGGAGAACGTGAGAGTGGAGCTCAAGCCCGCCCCGGCCCGGCCCCGGCCCGGGCCAGCCCCGCGCACCTCGCACCTCCCGCTCAGGCTCAGAGTCCTCGTCAGCCTCGCGCTCCCGCTTCACCCGCACAGCCGGGACTACGGGCGCCGGGACCTCCCGCGCGCTCACCGGCTCGACCTCCCGCTTCACACGCACTGGGCTGCCCCGGGAGCTCGGCGCCTCGGCCTCCCGCTCCCGGTCTCGCTCCCGCTTAACGCGACCCGAGCTGCCCCGCGACTCGGACTCGCGCTTCCCGCGGGTAGAACCACGAGATTCACGCTTGGACCGGCCGGACATCGCCACTACGGGCCGAGTCGCTCTGCGCAGGCTCCAGGCACGCAGGAGCGCGCGGCAGATAGCCAATCAGGAACGGAGCTGTTATGGAAAGCTGGGCTCTCTACGAGTCGCCGTGGAGGACATATTAGGCCGCGAGAAACTTCTGGGAAGTACTGCGCCGCCTGTGGCCTCTTAGCGTCTGCGTGCACACCTGGGAAAAGACTGCGGGCCTACTGCCACCTTACCCATAATTTTCTGGATTAAAAGAAAGTTGTCTCTGGGCCCTGGATTTCTTCGACATACTTTGTGCCCGGGAAACAGAATCGGGAGGTCGTCTCCACAGTCACTGGGCACCAGAGAACTAGGCTACATCCCCAAACCATCCCACCATGGAGCGACCTGGCTACTCTCTTCCACATTTAGAGAATTGTTCTTGGCATCACAGGAAAATGCAAACGTCAGGCAGAGACAACCTTGACGCTAATAAAGCTCAGACTTCGGGGCCTGTGACCTTCACGACCCTGTCCACGGCCCTGAACTAGATTATTTGTATAATTTTACCTAGATGAAATTGACATGCAATCAAATGCATGCTTAAAGTGTACAATTTGGGGCGCCTGGGTGGCTCAGTGGGTTGCCTCTGCCTTCGGCTCAGGTCATGATCTCAGGGTGCTGGGATCCAGCCCTGCATCAGGCTCTCTGCTCAGCAGGGAGCCTGCTTCCCCCTCTCTCTCTGCCTGCCGCTCTGCCTACTTGTGATCTCTGTCCCTCAAATAAATAAATAAAAATCTTTAAAAAAATAAAATAAAAAGTGCAATTTGCTAAATACTGACGGATGGGTGTATACCCTCTGAAGCCATCACCACAATCAAGATAAAAAACTTACCCACCAGCTTCAAAATTGTCCTTCCCCCAACATCTGCCTTCTCTTACTACAAAGCAGTTTTATATAAATGGAAGCCCACGGCATGTCCTCTTTTTTGCCTGGTGCCTTTGGCTAGGAGAATTTATTTTGAGATTCATCCACGCGCTTGCGTCTATTAACAACTTGTTCCTTTTGATTGCTCAGCGGTATTCCATCGTGTGGATATACCAGAATGTCGATGTACTAACCACAAATTTCTAATTTTGTCATTTTTTCAAAGAGGACTCCCAAACTACACACTCAGATTCTGAAAAGCGCTGGGTCCTCCCGAGGGGACAGTTGAGATGTGGATCGTGTGGGCTCGGGCTCTGGACGGGCTAGAAGGGGCGCCCCAGTCGCCAGCAGCCTTCGCAGGGCTGTGAGGCCAGGGTGCCGCTGTGTGCCTTGCCCGAGCACTCGCCTCCTCACAACCTCTTTTGAGGTAAATGTGCTCAATGGCCTCGTTTACCGATGAGGACACTGAGGCTCCGCGGGCTTCAATGGTCAGCCGAGGTCACACAACCGGGGATGGGAGTTCTACAACATTTTCTCACCGCAAAAAGGGAAGGAAGACTCCACACCGATCACTGAGTGGTGTAATGGGTGCTTTGTGTTTTTCTGAATTTTCTGATGTATCAGCAGTAAGCCTAAGTCCTGTTTCCAGTGCTAACGTGACAAAGAAAAGCCCCGACGGGGAGTGAAAGCCGCGCATGCCCCATCCCAGCACCGGCGTCGGGAACTCCGGGCGCCGCGACGCTCGGCCCGGCAGGCTCTTTCGGGGCGGGACGTTAGGCCGGAAGTCGGACGAGGGGCGGTGCAGTACTCGCCCGGCTGGAGGGCGGCCGTTGGGGCCGCTGAGTTGGCGGAGGCTCCCAGCGCAAGGCTCCAGATGGAAGCGGCGCCAGATTCCGGGCCGGGGCTCTGCTGCAAGCCTGGCGGGCGGCTGGACATGAGCCACGGCTTTGTGCACCACATCAGACGGAACCAGCTCGCCCGGTACCGCCCCTCCCCGCCGCCGCCCCCAGCCTAGCTTGGCCCGGCGGTCCCTGACTCCCGCTCGGCTCCCCGCAGGGACGACTATGACAAGAAGGTGAAGCAGGCGGCCAAGGAGAAGGCAAGGAGGCGGCACACGCCCGCGCCGACGCGGCCCCGAAAGCCCGACCGGCAGGTGTACCTGCCCCGACACCGAGGTGAGGCCGCCCACCCCGCCTGCCTCCTCCATCCCTCGCGCTCTTTCAGCCCCCAGCTCTCTCTCTACGCGCTCCTTTCTCTACGTGGAAAAAGCCACTTATTAACCCCCAAGGCTCAGTTCATGTCGTTCCTTCCCGGAACCCCTACCTCGACGCTCCTCATTCGCTCACTGATTCTGAGAACAGAGAAGGCTCGTGGCCCCCAGTTAAGCATCATTATTAACAGGAAATACCTGGGAGCCGGCAAGTAGTGGTTTGTCTACTGGTTTGCCCACCATCCTGTGCTTTAGGGTTCTCACTAGCTGACGGAGAGCTTGGCACAGCTATAGCTGACCAGGACATAGGTGTAGAATGAAACTCAAACTCAGTATTTAAAATGGCCTTTTCTCCAGCTTCCCAGGGACCTAGAGATCACAATAACTAGGGTGGCACTAAACTTGTTTGGTGTTACTTAAAAGTATTTTTAGATCTTGGGTATATTAATTCATTTACGTTTCATTGGATCCCATAAGACGGAAACTCCTGTCACTTGTTTCATAGAAAACAGGAGCAGAGAGGCTAACTTGCCCAAGGTCTCTCATAACTAATAAATGACAGAGCCTGGATTTGAACCCAGGTAGGACTCTGGCCACCTCTCCACTACCTTGCAAGCTTATTCACTAGATGAAGGTGTATTGTGTATCTATCACATGATAGGATTGTGCTGGCCCCAGAGCAGGGATAAAAAGGTAAATGAAACTATTGATTGGGTGCGCACTTAACACATAACACACACGCACAGAGCCCGTGAGAAGATTGGGACTTTCTTTATGGTATGTTTTCGTGTGTCCTCCGTGTGGGCAGGGGCTCCAGCAGCCTTCCCCTCTTCCCTCTCACTGTGATTCATCCTTCCAGATGGCTCGACCCACCTAAGCAACCCAGACTGTGAGGAGTCCAGTGAAAGCAGCAGTAGTGGCAGCTCCGAGCCAGAACCTTCTGGCCATCAGCTCTTCTGTTTAGAATATGAGGCAGACAGCGGAGAGGTCACTTCAGTTATCGTGTATCAGGTATGCCTCATGGAAACAGCTGCAGCCTGAAGGTCCTGGGCCATGCTAGAAATCACTGCCAGAGCCTGAACCACTGTTTCCCTCAGGGCCAGTGGGAAGTGTCGGCTCCACATAGGAGCGTAGACTGCTGGGCGATGGTTTTGAGCACAACTCAACCCTGTCACACAGTGATCCTCAGCAGGCCCCTGGGAGGGCATGTGGCCCCCAGCTGAAAATCACTATCACAGGGGACACCTGGGAAATGGCAGGCACTGGCAAGAAGCTGTGAATCAAATGGAGTTCTGTAAGAGTGTTGTCTAGGGATAGGGCAGGTCGCCTTTCCAGAAGACGCCCAGCCCTGAGCTTCTTGACTCTTCCTCCACGTAGGATGATGATCCAGGAAGGGTGAGTGAGGAGGTGTCCGCACACACGCCTCTGGATCCACCAATGCGAGAGGCCCTCAAGTTGCGCGTCCAGGAGGAGATCACAAAGCGCCAGAGCCAACACTGACCAGGCTGAAGGCATTCTCACCAGGCTGGATTCACTGCCCAGGGAGCTCACTCCTAGTTTGAGGGTGTCAGGACCGGTCTGAGCTGATCTGCACACACACACACACACACACACACACCCCAAGCTCAACATTCATAGGAACCGATTATTACAAGGACAAACCTGCTTTGCAGGCCATTCTTTCTTGTATGTTGGCCCATTTGACCAGCTTAGTATTCTGGAATTTGAGAATTTTGTTTGGCTAACTTGGTGTTCTAGAAGCAGAGATTCCAGGGAGAGCTGAGGTTTATGAAACCTTATGCCAGCATGCTGCTTTCTTATTGAGGTCATATGCCGTGGGACACCTACCCGCTGCTGCTCCACCCAACTTAATGAACCGCGTTTGTAGTTTTACAGTTCCTTTGTTCCTTGCTTCTGCTCACTTCCATCCATATTTTCCTAGACCTTTTTTTCAGCTGTTTCTTTGTTCTTTCCATTCCCTCATCTTTGTCTCAGAACCTGTCAGTTCCACCCCACCTCCCAAGGTGACTGTGGACCTCCCAACTGCTCAGGACTTTGGAGGTGGGGAGTTCTGGGGGATCTACCTTTCTGACAAGCTCTCCCAGTAATTCCGATACCAGTAACATGGGAGATTTTCATTTTTGAGACTGTCTTGCAAGCATGTCTCCCTATCCTTCCATGGCTTTTGCAAGTTTCTCTCACATTGCTCTGCTTTGCACTGTCTAGATAAAGAGACCTAGACCTAGAACTCAACTGCAAGGATTTCTTGCAGCAAAACCTCCCTTGGTTAGGGCTACAGGATTCCAGTTTTCAACCTCATTCCTAGCTCTGAACAGACCATCCTTTGCTCAGGTTAAAGGGGAATTATCAAAACAAGCTTGAAACTGACTCTCCAAATGTGATTTAACAGTCTCAAATATACATACAAAGGGAAATTCAACATGAGCAATAATTGCCTATTTGGAGCCCTACTTGGGGGAAAAAAAAGAAAGAAAAAATGCCCATATAATGGGCTGCGAAATGGGCCTCTCTCATCTGCTCTGCCCCTGCCCCATTCTTTCTCCTTTCCTATCTCCCAAGAGTATATAGATCCTAGGAATATCACCGTCTTCAACTCAGTGACCTGTTTCCCTAATGCAGGGCCAGGCTAAGGTCTGAGACATCCACAAGACATCCTATGCTCCGCAGTTCCAACCCCCTGCAGATTTCCAGCAATTGACCTAACCTCAGTGGCTTTAAGTATGGGGTTTAAATGAGCCCATGAACACTAAGACTTCTTGAAACCAAAGTCCCTCTGCCCCAGGGGTTTTTCTACATCAGGGTCTCAAGATCAGTCTGACTGTTCCATCTCAGTGGCTTTTCTCTTAAAGGACACCTGAGGGCACTGTTGGTTTGTGCCCTACACCCCTGAAAATCTACCACCTCAGAAATGGTGCAAGGCAGCTACTTCAACTACATCATTAGAATCCATTAAGCCACAGTTTGCAGTGCCAGAGGAATTCTGGGAAAGTGAGTGAGGCAGATAAGTGAGATGGGCCTGGTGGTGAAGGGAGCCAGGGACCAGAGTGTTCCTGACCCACAGAGCTGGCCCAAGGTTAAATGCCTTAAATTTGCCAGTCCTGGGCTCATTTCTACTTTCAGAGGAGAAAGTCTGCCCTCCACTTACTCAGCCAGGCTAGAAGTGCCTTTTGACTTACAATGTTAACTACCCTCCAGAGTCTCCAGGTCAAGGATGCTGTGCCATACTCTCTCCCCAATCTTCTGGCAGCTCAGAGGACTGGGAATTTTACTTTTCCAGCTCTTCAACCGCTCTTCTGACTTGGACATAGGATTTCACTGGAACTCTTAGGCTTCCTAGTCTGGAAATACTTTTTTGGGTCTGTCTTCTCACAACTGGATGGCCTATTTCGTGGACTTATTACAGGATTAGAAACAAGACCAGAAGAGGAGGTTGGGGGCATGGCACCTGAAATCTTAGCCTCCATTCCTTTTTGTGAGAAGGAAAGTGTGTACCTAATACAACCTTTTCTGTCCGTTGTAACCCTCACACTCAGGTAAGAGACTGATAGAAACTCCTTATTGGTGAACTTTTTTTCTTGAGGTATTTTGCTTACCAAGCGCATTTAAAATATTTTCCACCCAGGAAAGCATCCTCATTCTTAGCTCATTTAAGCAGTAGGACTATAGAAAGCACTAGGCCTGGTACTTAAATGAGAGGTTGTCCTTCTGGGGAGGCCTGTTGGTGGTTTTGCTGCCACTACTCCAGATGTAGCTGAAATGCTCTGGTGGTGGCCCTTGGCCAGCTGACAGCCTTAGAGCTCAGGCTCACTGCTCATGGCCACCCCTCCTCTGGGGTCCATGATGGTACTGCTACTGTCCAGTTTATTCACCAGACTTGCCTCCAGACATCTTCCAGCTCTTTTCAAAACTCAGTGCTTTGCCATCAAGGAGCATATTACAGAGCATTCCCCACAGGCTCTGGACATGTCACAGAGGACTGCCCCATGCTGTTGGGTACCGTGGAGCCTTCAGGCAGGCTGCTTCAGAACCAACACTCATTTGACTAGATCTATTCTTGGTGGTCAAAAAAAAAAAAAAGAAAGAAAAGAAAAGAAAAAAAATTCTGGTAGTCTCATAGACCTATCTCATGCCCATGAATGTTCTTCACTTACTGAGAGAAGGCCTTGGATTTTTAGACTTTCAGTTGCCTGGTCCTCCATGGGTGATACTATAAATAGAAGGAATCTGGGGTTTTTAGTGGCTTTGGGCTATGTAAACACTGAAGCTTGAACTCTTGCAGTTCACAAGCCTAGAAATCTTTGAAGAATGTAATGCAAGGAGAAAGAAGAATGTAAAGCTTTTTCTACTGAGGGTAGGAGTCTGTGGTGCATGGCCAGCCAATAGGGCCAATGTGGGCAGTAACAAATGCTTCGCCCTGTGGATGAGGCTCTGAAAGGGGCACTTCACCTCCACCGTCCACTCTGAGGGGTGCTGCCAACTAGAGATTAGCCCATAGGGCTGGAAGAAAACCCTCTGGGCTGGTGAATCTCCAGCCTGCTGTGCATTTGCCAGGATGCATGGGTAGTAGGATAGTGGATCCCCAGCTGGCTCACGAGCACGAGACCTTTGCATATAGAAAGAGGGATGAGGACAGATTTTTTTTTCCTACCTTCAAGCCTTTGGGGAGAATCAGCATGGAATGTTAACAATTATTTGGACAATTTTCAGCTCCCTCATTGAATTTCCTATTCTATCCCTGAGGACTCAGATGGTCAAGAAGCCGTAGGCACCCACCCCAGATATCTCCAGTAGTTACAACCTTGAGTACATGGCTCCTTTGCCTTCCCAGAGCCTCCAGGATGAGAGGTTGATTGCACTGGTTAAGTTGTGTTAAATGTATAACAAGCCATATATTCTTACTGTTTTTTCATTTCCAATGTTTCTGCTGTGTGAATGAACTGTGCAAATTATTTGAAAATATTGGAAGGGGGTACTTTTCGAAAACAGTATTCTTTTTAAGCAATAAACTATTTTTACAGCACTGTTTTTGCCAAGGGTTTTGAAATCACTTGTGTACATAAGAAAAGTGAAGATTAAATGCCTGCCCTAAAGTCATTCAGCACCACAAAATCAGCACTTGAAATCTCATCTCTTGCTTTGCCTTGACTATTTTAAGAACCGTCCTGGTTGGAGCATAACAACTAGACTCACATAGCATTAGAGCTGGAAGGGACTATTAAAGATGTCTGCTCCCACTCATCTGATAAGTGACTGCACCCTACCAAGTACCATGAAGAGTCCTTCCATATTAGGGAGTTTTATCCTGGGGTAATTCTACTTTAGGGACTGCTGAGATTATCCTACTAAGCCAAATTTGCCTCTTAACTCTAGAGTGCCCATCTTACCCTCACTTTATGTTAGAATAGCTGGTTTCGGACCTAAGTAGCTTCTCAGGTCTTCCTCATGGTAACATTGGGACAGGAACCCAAACCTAGTTCAGCAGGATATACTAAGTGCTGACTAAGACTACAAAGCTTCCAATGAGAGAGGAAGTGCTGAGGGTTCACAGCACCATTGGGCAGGTGAGGAAAAGGTGCCTGCTCCAAATGGGAACACCTGGGCAGAAAGATGGTGCTTCTCTGTGAATTAGAAAGCGACACCTCTATGTCCTGGGACACAGAGCATGGCTGGCAAAAAGTGGACCGGATTTTATACCCCACTGATCCTTCAGCAGGTATTGTACAGTGATCACTCTGCACAATCATCTTTTTTTTTTTTTTTTAAGATTTTATTTGACAGAAATTGAGGGCACAAGTTGGGGGGGGTCAAGGAGAGGGAGAAGCAGGCGCCCCACTGAGCAAGGAGCCCTACACAGGACTCAATCCCAGAACCCTGGGATCATGACCTCGGCTGAAGGCAGACACTTATTTAACCAACTGAGCCCCCCTGGAGCCCCTGCTCAGCCATACTTCCCCTGCTTTATCTATTTGTCCTGAAGTGATTGAGGAAAGTGTTCTCCAACAGATTTTTGGTTTCCATTTTTACTTTCCATTGGGTCCAAAAAAGGTTGCTCCTTTAAGCCCTTGTACAGTTTATCTGCTCCATTTATTCCTCACAATACATGGCCCCCTGTTTCTGCACATTACCTCTGACTCTCCAATGCTGCCAGACCTAAGCCTCCCCTGCTCCTGGCTGCCTGGGTCCATGTTCCCTTCAGATAACCATCTGTCAGCCCAGGTGTTGTCTGACAGGGGTGCCAGCACCTGCTGGGCTTCTTATAGTGCCAGACACACTTTCAGTATGTGAAAACTATTCCCACCCTTTTCATCAATGCCCAAGGAGGCACCCGTGGCATGTACATTTTGGTGAAGTCGGTGGTAATTTATTCCCACACTATTTTGTTTCCTCTTCCCAAATTGCTCAGGGTCTCCAATCTGCCTCTCCTCTCTTGCTTACCAATACCTGACCATGTGTGACCATGGGTATCCATTGGTCTCTGTGGCCTTGAAGTAAGTGTTCATCAGCCAAGAAACATGTTCTGGACACTGACTTCTGGACAGTATTCTGTGTCCTTGGACACTTGAAAATAAGTATCTGACGAAAGTAGCCCTCCTCCAG